TTAATGAAGCTACTGGACAGTATGAGGTGACAGCGTTGATACCAGTAATTGAGACGTTCTCGTTTTGCGACCATCTCCGAAAAAACACCCTCCGGAATGGCAAGTGCACAACTAGAATTCAGTCATTGGCAGGTTAATGATGAGGTAATTTATTCATATCGTTCGAGAGTGTGTAGCGCAGTGGTCAAAGGTATTCAGCGACGCGCACATTGTCAAATGTTGAACCCAGTACTCATGGTTCGCCAAACCTTCCATCTTCTTTGGGGTGGACAAGCTGTATCAGACTTGCTTGGTAGAAAAACAGCATTGATTTGGTACATCACTAGACCACGCGAGTTATTTCAAAGGCCAGATACGCATTCAATCATCTGTGATGATGCTCGATGAAGTCGAATGCATGGAACATTCTCAGAGATCGATCAATGGCGAGAGTTTTCAGATTTCTTCAAAAGTTATTCACTTGCTTATGCACTGAACCAGAGTAATATAAAAAAAGAGTAAAAAGAAAAAACTTATTCGAAAGGGTAAAGAATGACTGCTGCTCCACCAAGGTACGGATACCCCTCTGTCCGTAGTGAGAATCAAGTCCGGTCAGAATTCAACTCTAATAGTGAATTTATTAGATTTTTAAGTTCTTGCAAATCTTAAAACTCGATTCGAATTGTATTTTTGAATGATAGTTGCGAGACAGCTTGTTAGGGCACATGGGCGTTCTTTGAACTTATAACATTTTCGTGGGAATCTCTTCCAGTGGTACTCGCATCTTTTAGTGATGGTAGAGATTTTTTGAGATAGAAATTTTCACCGTATAAGTACTAGATTATTAATCAGCAGCACTCCGTCGGCCAGCAGCCGCTCTTCGTACCGTCCGAATCGTGCGCCAGCCAAAAATGGTCGCCCGTCCCGAAGGGGTAAAATGTGGTCTGATTTCCACTCGCTACTGATTTAGAGCCTCCATCCCTTCAGGGTTCAGCTTTATTCAAATTATGAGCTGTTGACCAACATTTGTTTGGTCATCTACAGAAGTGTGGCTATGTTTTCAAGCATAGTTGTTGTATTTATTGGTCCTCATTGATATCCCAAGTCTTTGATTTCTATCGACTTTACAGGATCCGTATTGGCAGCCTACTACAATTAGAGGAGATGGAAGAATATGGTATCAAAGGTGACTCACCAAATCACGCTCGAGGATATATGGATGCCATTCGAAGACGAAAAGGCCTACCAACTGACGACCGTTATCGTGGTGTCAGCAGAAAAGCAAAGAAATCTGAGCAAGAACAAATAGATGGGTATTCGAGAAAAGAACGCCAAAGATGCTCCAAAATTTATTTATTCCTTGTATAGAGGAACGTCTTCAGTTGTACTCTAAACATTCACATACGGAAAGAGAATAATAAATGTTTTGTCTGACAGAATGTTTTGAGCTTTTCGTGAGATCTGGGATGACACCTTTTTTGTTAGACGTAGGTTACGGCATTACAGCAAGCCTCATCAGTATCACATGCCAGTTGATTGCTCGTCCCTACTATAATCAGGAATCGTCGTCGAAGATATCCTTGTATGTCAAGTGAAAAGATCACTTGGTACGGCGTTCTTTCAGTGATTGACTGTTGACTGCATGGCTCATGGCTGGGCAAAAGTGCATGTAGCAATTCCTTCCAATCGACTATTGTGACATCTCGTCAAAAAATTCAATATCGTAAATATCCGAACGATATCTTGCTAACTGATGTTACATATCTGGAAAACAGTGAAAGGGGATAGGTTGGAATATAAGACAACGAATTCGGTTCTTTTCGGTTGTAAGGGAACAAGTGAATATTCGACCTCATTCGCTGTACAAGGGTTTTCCATAGGAATGAGAGTAATCATTCGAAAGTTTAAATCTTTGGCTTAGGCTCATGCATGACCGGTTTTCGGAAGAAAACCCTTTTTAATGCTGTAAGGTTCAAAATGAAATTTCGTTTCACATCTGCTCACAATTCAACTATTGCTTCGCTGGAAACACGACATGAAGGTGTAGAGAAAATTTTCTAGTACTAGAGTCAGACGTTTAATCTGGAATTTCGAAAAAGAACTGATAACTGAATAACAAAAATTGTACTTTTCCATGGCACACGGAAGGGCCAATCAATAGATCGGCGGGTTGAAGCGGTCACATCCTCCCTGCGCCTCGCCTTTCCACCCCGTAGGATAGCCAAAATCCCCTTGTCGCGTAAGTGATTTTGATCTTATTTTCCCTGCTGGGCTGCAGAGAAACGGTCTTTTCTGAAATTAAGCACAGGACTGGAATCTTGAATCTTACGCTATCGATTTATTACTAATGCTCTCAAGACTGAGCTCTGCCCGAAGAAAACTATGCGCGTGTGAAGCATAATATTATTTAGGACTTTACAGCGCTGTAAAACGGTGTTATCGAAAATCGGCCATATGCTACCCTAACCAGAGATTCAAGCTTTCGATTGATTACTAACATTCCCATGAAAAATTCTCCTACAGCGAATGAGGTTAAATATTTATTTGTTCCCTTATGACCGAAAAGTACGCGAATTCTATTTGGTAAACCGCCTGAATACTCTACAGAGAATAATCATTAGGAGATTTTTATACACCAAAAAATGTACTATTTGTTACTTTTATTATCTCGCTTGGCTCCAACAAGCACTGCAAAAGGCATGGTCCTGGCCGGGATCGAACCGGCGACCTTCTGCGTGTGAAGCAGACGTGATAACCACTACACCACAGGACCCCACGTGGAGTGTCGGCAGAACCTGTGATTCTTTAGTTGCACTATACTTCCATTATTTGAGATGTTTTCTGCATTTCTAAAATGAAACATTTAGAAATTTTTACAAATGGAGAAAAAATTGCCAAATAAATAACGAAATCCTTGCTCTCTAGGCAGCCTTGAAGTCGTCGCGCGCGGCGCGATTATCAGACGCTCGATAATAGGCGTCGAACATGAAAGGTGATTATTTTGCTGCTATAGCTTTCTAAAATTTCGAGTAAAAGTTTTAACGAAAAGTAAAGCGATGAAAGTTTAGCAGCAACTGGAAAATCTCCGATGTTAGTGAAAACAATATCCGTTGGGGTCCTGTGGTGTAGTGGTTATCACGTCTGCTTTACACGCAGAAGGCCGCCGGTTCGATCCCGGCCAGGACCTGGTTTTGCTCTTTTCTCTGAATAAACTGCTATGAAATTGTTTACAGTGGAGATTTCAACACGCAGGTCAGATTTCGACTTTTGCCTCGAGGACGTTGAGCAAAACCGTAGAGCGCTGAAAGTATAACGGCAGCACAAATCACCGCTCTTGGCGAACAGTGCTCGTTGAGCGCTCGTGGTGCAGCGGTTGTGACGTCTACACTGCGCGCAGAAGGCCACCGGTTTGATCTCGGCAAAGATTTGATAGGCAGTGCTTTTGGGAAAACTATCCTACAAGCTCTCTTGAAGATTCAGGAAGCTGTAACAGCTAGAAGAAACTTACCTCTCACCTTCAGCACGCATTATTCGTCCTACCGTTCTACTAGCTTAGGCTTTTAATTTTATTTTATACTGCCAAATGAACTCGCTATGAAGCCTAAGTGAAAGAGCGCGCAACGTAATTTTCTGTTCGCTCTTCCAGCGCTCCACGGAGAATTTTTCAAAAACTCAGACTTAGCTCCAGAATCACCTAGATTTACGATGTCAGTTAGTTACTGAAACTTTCAATATACCTCATAGTGAATATTTGAGCCAACACGTCATGTGGTCTGTAAAAGGTCTCTTGTATAGCCCGATATACGTCTTTCGGCCTTAAGCAGCCTCGTCAGCTGGGCAGAACCCTTCGTCTTTGGCCAATCCTCTCGCGGTGCTCCAGTACCCTATAAAGAGTAGGCGACGACGAACGACTTACATAACTGCCGTCAAGTGAAAAATCATTAGATGTGCAGTTCTGTACACTCGATTGTTCTTGGCTGTTACACATGTACCGGGCTGTTCAAAAGCCCATTAACAGACCACATGACATGTTGCCTCAAATAGTAATTATGAGATATATTGAAATTTGAGCTTGATCTTAAGGAAACGCTCGAAACGAGCGGTGTAATATTTCAAAATAACAACCAAAAACAATCGAGTATTCAACACTGCCGATCTAGTGATTTTTCACTTTATGGCAGTTATGTAAATCGTTCGTCGTCGCTTACCCTGAGTCGGAGAATGCAGCACCCCAAAGGACTGGCTAAAGACAAAGGGTTCTGCTCTACTGACAAGGACTGTCCAAGGCACAACATGTGTATCGGGCTGCACGAGGGCCCATTAATAAACCACATGACATGTTGACTGAAATAATAATTGTGTGATATATATTAAAATTTGAGCATGGTCTCAAGAAAGCACTCGAAACGAACGGTGTGATACTGAACTTTGTCAAAGGACCAATTAGAACCTTAGCTACTTCAGTGTTGCAAAAGCTTCGCGCCGAGTGTGAAACTCAACTCTATTTACACTGCTACATGCACTAAAAGACCCTCTTCAGGTAAGAAGCAAATCCTTGAAACCGCCAAGAGTTGCGCTAATATATGAGTTTTGAAGAATAAACAAACAGCGAAAAAGGCCTGCAATAACTGATTTGTATTGAATATCATTACTCATGTTTTCTAATGTTTCTACTTCATTTTTTGCAGTCGTGTGATGTTTCCATCACACCTAACAGAATTAATTAGTCAGCGAAAATTCTACATCAGGCGAGAGTTGAACCCACGCTTCACCAATACATACCCCATAAAAGCATTGGGAATCTTGAGTATTACATATCACAGTGGCTATCAGCTTAATTGGGGTTATAATGCGATATTGCTTACCCGACAAACTTGTTATAGATTGGTGCGTGATAGCAATATCAGAGACATCGGAGAATGAGTGGTGGTGAAATGGTGCCTTCGTGGTGATGTGGTAGCATGCGCTTCAAGTATAGGTGAAACGCGGGTTCAAGTCCCGCCCGAGGTCGTGCTTTTGCTCACCTCTCAATTCTCTTAGGTATGTATGAAACATCAATAATAATGAGAAAAATGCAATTAAAATACTAGAACATATCGCAACGATTCAAAAGTTCGACTTTCTATAAGCCTCGCCATGATCAATTGTTATATGAAAATCGAAAAAACTTATCTTGATTAGCTGACGCGTGGTTGGTAAATTAGTCGTAGTAATTCGACTGACGTTTCGGAGTCTTTCCTTCTTTGGAGCCTGGACGTATGTAGTGTTAGTCTATTTGAATGATTCGGATGGCCTTATTTATATGCTGCCTAGGTCAAGTTTCAAAAACAAACAAAGAAAGGGCCCGAGATTTCGTGTGATGGTGACGCACTCGTCCTTCCGGTTCATTTCGGGATTTTGGACGTTTATCCAAAATGCCTCAAGAGTCTTGCGCGTGGATGTTTTTGATTCCCGCTCTAGGAATGTAACAGTCACATCTAAATCGTTGTTGTTGTGTTGTTGTCCCCTATGTAAACCTAAAGGTTTCGTTTTATCTATTTTAGATTTACTATCTAAATGTTCTTTTATGCGGATGAAAAGTGGTCTACCCGTTTCGCCTAAATATTGTTCCCCGCAAGATCTGCATGTTACCGAATAAATTGTCTCCAGTCTCATACAATCCTCCTCTTTTTCGCTAGAGTCTTCCGTTGTTAATCCAGATGCGCATCCAGTCACCTACGACGATGCTTGATGAAGTCGACTGTGCATGGAACATCTCAGAGATCGATAAAAGGCGAGAGTTTTTAGGATTCTTTAAAAGTAATTCACTTGCTTATACAGTGAACCGAAGTAACATCCCATATCCGAAAGAGTAAAGAATGACTCCGGCTGCGCCAAGGTACGGGTACCCTCCACTGTCAGTAGGAGGATCAAGTCCGATCAGAATCAACTCTAAGAGTGATTACATTAGATTTCTAAGTCCTTGCAAATCTTAAACTCGATTCGAATTGTATTGTTGAATGATAGTTGCGAGACGGCCTGTCAAGACTCATGGGCGTTCTTTGAACTTATAACATTTCCGTGGGAATCACTTCAGTGGTGCTCCATCTTTTAGTGATGGTAGAGATTTCTTGAGTTAGAAATTTTATCGTATAAATAACAAATTATTAATTAGAGCACTCCTCCGCCACTACAGCCGCTCTTCGTACCGTCCGAATCATATGCCAGCCAAAATAGTCGCCTTCCCGAAGGGGTAAAATGTGGTCTGATTCCACTCAGTACTATTCAGAGCTTCCATCCCTTCAGAGTTCACCTTCATTCAATCTATGAGCTGTTGACCAAAATTTCTTGGCCATCTACAGAAGTGTGGCTATGTGTTATGCATATTTATTGTTCTAAGAGAGCTGAGTGGTGAGCAAAAACACGACATCATGCGGTAATCGAACCCACGTTTCATCCTATCCGGGGACGCGTGCTCTACCACTACACCACTGAGGCATATTTGCCCGACCACTCATTCTTCAACATCTCAATGTTGGCTATCAGCCACCAACTTTGACAGGTTTGGTCGGGTATGCGATTTCGCTTCCGCGGATAGGATGAAACGTGGGTTCGATTCCCGGCTGAGGTCGTGGTTTTGCTCACCACTTAGTTCTCTTAGGAATATATAAATGATCATAAGACTGCGAAATATGCAGTGAAATAATAGAAATTTCGCACATTTAGTGTATTTATTGGTTCTCATTTATATCCCAAGTCTATGATTTCTATGAACTTTACAGGATCCGTATTGGCAGCCTACTACATTGGAGGAGATGGAAGAATATGGTATCAAAGGTCACTCGCCAAGTCACGCTCGAGGATGCCATTGGAAGATGAAAGGCCTACCAACTGGCGACGTTATCGTGGTGTCAGCAGAAAAGCGAAGAAATTTCAGCAAGAACAGCTAGATGGGTATTCGAGAAAACAAAGCCAAAGATGCTCGAGATTTATTTGTCCATTGTATAGAGGAACGTTTTGAGCTTTTCACGACATCTGGGATGACACTTCTAGTGTTGGACGTACGTCACGGCTCGGCAAGTTTCATCAGAATCCCATGCCGCTTGATTGGTCGTCCGTACTGTAATCAGGAATCGTCGCCAAAGATCTATCACTGTATGTCGAGTGAAAAGATCACTTGGGATGGCGTTCTTTCAGTGATTGATGTTGACTGCATGGCTCATGGCTGGTAATAACTGCATATAGCAGTTCCTTCCAATCGACTATTGTAAGATCTAGCCTAAAAATTCAATATCGGTCCAGAGAATAATAAATATTTGCACGACATCTTGCTAAGTGATCTTACATATCTGGAAAACAGTGAAAAAGGATAGGTTGGAATACAAGACAATGAATTATGATTTTTTTATGAGGGAACAAATGAATGTTCGACCTCATTCGCTCTACAAGCCTTTTTCATAGGAGCGTTAGTAATCATTCGAAAGCTTTGATCTCTGGCTACCAAAGCTCGGCTCCTATTGTTGTAAAGTGCTCCTTTGTGAATGGAATTTCCCCTGGTGTTTTGATCATTCAAAAGTACCGATCCAGATCTTCATGTGGGACGAACCGTAAATTATCAATGTGTGAAACAGACGCACTAACGATTGCACCACAGGACCACAGTGGTCGTTTTGATTGTCGCTCTACTTACATTTTTCCAGTCCGATGGATAAGTCGAGCTTCGACTTCTCATGCAAAAAGTGGCAAAAGCTCGAATTGAGTTTGCAGCCCTGTTTTACGAATAAGCACTGCAAAAGGTAGATCCTGGCCGGGACCGTACCGGCGACCTTCTGCGTGTAAAGCAGACGTGATAACCACTACACCACAGGACCTCCACGAAACTGTGATTGCTGAAGGTGCTGATATTCCAGTTTCTGCTATACTTCCTTTGCTGGACAGTTTCACCTCGATGTTCTAGGAGAAATGTTGCAATCTGACCTGATGTCAAAACGATGAAAATTCTGCTTTGGAAGTTTTCATGGCACATTGTTCAACGGAAAAACGAAAGCAGCTGCTGGCTGGGATCAGACCGAAGAGCTTTTGCGTATGAAGCAAACGCGGTGAATTTTACACAGGAAGCTCAGCAACCCTAGTTGGCCAGAACCGAATATTTTTGATTGCTCCACTATTATAGTCTGGAGTCTTCTATGAAAATATTGTACTTTAACCTCTGATGTAAGAGCTCTCTGAAGTTTTTTTGTCGTTTGGTAGCACAGAATTTTGAGCCCAACCCTTACGCTGAAAAGAAGATTTTGTAAATAGTGTTAGTGATATTCGAAAGCGTAAATCTCGAGCTAGCGCTCCACTTGGCCGGTTTTCTGAGAAGACCTTTTTCTAACGCTGAAAAATTCTTAAAAAATCATGTTTCACACCCACTGCACAATCTAGCTATTACTTCACCGGAAGTACGAAAAGCACATGGACGTAGAGAGACAATCTTCTGGTATCAGAGTCAGACATTTGATCTGTACCCAAACCCTAAACAAATACACCTCAGTTAGGCGGCATCGATCGATGCTCGCGCCAACCCGCTCCCTGTTCCTACTCCACCGCCCGTGAATTGACTGATACGGGT